GTGTTGGTTTGTTTTCATTCCACTTAAAAGGAAAAGTTTTAAAATGAAAGGTTTTTAAATGATGCCCCCATCTGCCTCTTTGTTTATATAAATCCACCCCTGGTATGTGACTCGTGTCTCACAATTTTTGACGTCTCACTTAAGGCACGAAAAAATAACATCAACCCGTCTCTGAAGCTGATATATACAATCAACGGGGGAGAGGATATACTTTCTGAAAATAAGAAAAAGAGGAAGAAATTAGCGTATGAAGAAGAAGTAGAAATATCTTAATTACGGCTGCACATTATTTCGATATTCGTTTGTTATTTGGGTGATTCTTTTTAAACATGACAATTCGGACCAAAACATTTCTTCAAATTTAAAGTCTTCAAAATAATCTATAAATTTTTTTTGTATACTTCTTTAGTTACACTTATTAATATTTCACAGACAGCAGTGTAGTTTATTGAAATTCGCTCGAGAAGAAAAAATAAAGTAGAAATTCACAAAATCTTGAATGCCGGGAAAATGACATATTAGCTTAGAAGTTTAAAAAACAGTCATTTTAAGTTAATAGTAAGTAACTCAACTTAAACCTTTATGTTAGATGGACCATAAATTGCTTAAATTAATTATTTTTATCCACTGTAGAAAGAATCAAAAAATTTTTTGTTGCTGATATGCACAGAATAAAATTATGTATAATATTCAATCATTAAGTAAATAAATAACTTTGATTTCATTCAAGCATATTGCAATCATACATAAACTTGGTATTAGGTTAATATTTGCTTTCCCTCCTTATAGTATCAGCAGTTAAAAAATATTTCTGGTAACTCTTCAATGTCCTGGTATTCATAAGCCAGGAAAATGACTGCCAGGATAATGACAAATTCGCCATTTTATAGCTTATATAACTTTAAACTAATATTTCGGCCTAAGATGCTTATATTCTGCAGAAAACAACGGGATTTCTTAAAATAACTAAGATAAATCTATGTAGTTTATGTTATTAATGATTTCAAGTAGCCAGGAAAATGACAACACAAAAACCTAATCACCTTGAAACATTTTTTGAAATAGATTTTGAACCTGAAAATTGGAACTTTATTCATGCAATAAGACATGCTCAGATAGGATGGTATTCTAATCATTCTATTAATATAAGATATTGATTGCTGGCTCTATCTATTTTGGTTATAAACCACTAAATAAAATTAGCCAGGAAAATGACAGATTTTCTTCGGCCAAACAAATTATTGACAGAAAAAATCATTTTAAACGAAGTTTTTGTAAATAATACCCTCTGCGTATATTCTAGAAATGCTTACACCGGTTGAAATAAAAAAATTAGATGTTGAGAAATTTATGGGAAGTTTTGAAGTTAGTAATTATTGGAAACATTGTTTGTGACATGCCAGAAACATGAAATTTTGAAGTTCAATTAAATTTTTTAACTACATAAAACAGTCAATGCTAGTGCAAAGTTATTTTAAAATGTTAACAGAAATGCTATTTATTAATTTTTTAAAAAAAAAGTTCTTTTAGTATTATAGTATTAGATCTCGGAGCAAGGGACAGTGATTTGTCACATTTCGTGAGAATCACCCATTTATCATAAAGGGCAGCAGTTCTAATGTCTTTTAATGTAAAACGAGTTAATTTGTTACTTGATTAAAAAACTTCACCGGCTTCGAAATTATGCAGATGGAAATGAAAGTCGACATGTTTCAAGCGCTCATAAAAAGGCACCCAATTCCAAAACTTGCTATTCGAGAATGACGTCTTCATTCACGTCAGTCAAGTCTTATTAAACAGTGCAATTCTTTCATTTCTTCGTATTGTGTCACGCACTTAGTATACCTAAGTTCAATTTTTTTTCTTTGAATGCAGCTGATCATTTTTAAAATTTATTTTGTTACGATTACAAAATTTGTCACAAAATTTTCTTACATAAAATTATAATAATTGCACAATTTATTACAAACAATAACAAACAAATGACGAATTTTGTTTAAATTTCATAATTTTCTATGAAAAAAAAATTGCTTTGTCCACGAAGAGGCTACAGAGCCAGTACTGATGGCAAACTTATATTAATTTGAAATTAACATCTTTGAACATAAATATAAACGATACATGAACAATAAAAAAAAAAAAAATTATGCTTCAAGTTCAAAAGTGAATACTTAGATAGTTACATATAATTAGGGAAAAAGGATTCAAAATAAAAATTTTAACATCTTTTATTAAAAAAAATATTCTTTATTTTTGTGGAAAATATCGACTTTTAAGAGCAAAACAATAAGGAATGCGAAGCAATTGCAAAGATTAGTGAGCGGAGCTCCTTATTACTAATATAGAACGATATTAAAACTTCCAATTTTTTTTAAATTTAATCAGCTTGAACCGCATTTTAGTAGCCTTAAATTTAAATGACTCTAGGTGATCGTCCAGTTCACCACCTCCTAATTAATCATCCAAATCACGACTCTGCTAACTGATTCGCTTATAATTTCTGCAACGCAACACTCAAACCAAAGACGGATCTACAGTTTAAAGTATAACAGCTGTCTTCAGTAAATGGTATGTCTTTTGTCAAACGCTAATGTGAAATACTCCGTCCTAAAAATAACTTTTTTCCACATAAGATATACCGGGCCTTGCAAACCAATGGAGAAGTAAAAATAATTTTCAGTTTTATTTTTAGCCGAATTGATAAGAAAAGCTACGACAAAAAATGTATTTTTACTTGTAAGGATGTTCAAACGAATCGTGAAATAAAAACTAATTTAACTTAGATAGTTTTTAAACGTATACTTAATGAAGAAAAATTGCTTAAATTATGACGAATTGGAAATTATGACGAATTGGAAATTATGACGTCGTAGAGAAATATATAAGGTTCTCTCTGGAGTAGGGCTTCTTAAAGTGTGTCCCATATGGCATTTTAGGGTGCAGCTTGATCATTTTTAATATCGTAAGAATTCCATAAATGGAAAAAAAAAAGAAAAAAGAATTTGGGAAAAGACTAAAGCAGAATATTCTAAAGTAAAAAATTTAGGGTAGTGAATTCAAAACAATGTCATATGGGTACCGCGAGATCATTTTTAATATTGAATTCCATAAATGGGGAAAAAAATTGGGAATCCCTGGACTAAAGATCAACTACTCTACAATGAAGAAATAAAGGTTGGAAATCCAAAATAATGTTATAAATTACATTAAAATAAAACAATTTGCACTATACTTTTTAAGATAGCACTACGTAATTATAATAAAAATAAAATAACAACAGCAAAATTATTAATACAAAAATTTAAAGGAAGAGAAGAGTAATTTTATACCTCATGGTTTTCGTCGATTTTTTTAAACTAAAAATTCTAACAAAATAATAATAGCATCAACTCTTTGACTGTTTTATCTAAATATATTTTTAAATAGACTGTTGCATCTAAATATATTTTTAAATATGTCTCTAAATATATTTCTGAAAATAAATTAAAAGGATGGACATAAATTAGCATAATAGGCAAGTAGGCAATTAATGTATTTTTTTTTTTTTGCAAATTCATCTATATTCTTATTACTTTTTTAGTAATTTTCCTCCCTATTTTACGCCTTTAAAATCCTAATATTCCTAATATTTATAAATTTCAGTAATGGATATATTTAAATTAAACATTTATAGCAAGAAGATTCATAATTTCTTAACAATATTTATTTAATATAATTCTTAAAATAATAAAGTTATTTATAAAAATGATTTTTTTTTCATTTGTTTTCAAATTAATAACATTTAGATGTGTGTTTAAAAGCACAGATAAATGTGTAATAAATAAATTAAAAATAAAAGATTATTTGATGATAGAATTTCTTTACACCTATTTTTATATCATTATAAAATGATTTTTTAAATTTGAATTATTCAGTTTTTATCACCTAAATCGCTCCATTATTTTTTGATCTAAATTTTAAAATTATGTATATATATGTCATTAATGAACTAATAATTCGAAAATACTCTTGAATATAAATTCTTCCTCTTTGGAAATAATTGGGGTTAGTTTATGGTGCTGCTATCTAACAACAAACATGTGAACTAAAATTTTATAAAGCAATAAATTTATTTTAACTTATTCGTCATTATATCTTATTTGATATAGCTTAATTGTTTAATGGCGATTAAGTAGAAATATTGATCGATATAGCAGACGTTGTTAATCTAATAGATCATGATATGGTGTTAAGATTTTGTTTACCAATAGGTGTAACCTGACTTAATATACATTATTTTTAATGAACCATTATACTCTTAATGTGAAAAAGACTGTTAATTATTTCCCAAAAGTGGCGAGAAGCTACAGTCACATAGTTTTTTTCTATAATAAGTAGACAAGGTTGCAAAACATGAGCAAAAAAGTAAAATATAATTGAAATGAATATAATGTTGAAGTGCTGCCATCTATAAATAGGACTTGAGTATAAAAACTTTACTAAATAAAGGCTGCAGCTTTAATACTAAATAAAGGCTGTCGCTCTATTTAGCCAAAAGAAAGAATTTTTTTTTAAAGAAATTAAATGAGTTTAAAGACTTATATTACCGTGTTTGTTGATCGTATAGTGGTTAGTACATAGCGCGGTGGCCGCAATAACCCAGGTTCGAATCCAGGACACGGCAATATTTTTTAAATAACCAAACAAGCCCTTACTTTCCTTCTTTTTATTTACTCTCACTTCTTTGGCAGATTACAATTAAAATAGAATAAAATTTGAGGAGGAGTGTTTTTTTGTTCATCTTTTCCAGAAATTAAATGTGAGTAATCAATTTCATGAATATAGTTTAATTAATTTTTAAAAAATAAATTTTGTTCTCCCCTTCTGTTTCTTTCCTTTCCAATAAAACCAATTTTTGACATACATTTTATTTGTAATTTAGTCTACATAGTTAAATATACAATATTTTTTCACCCCTTCCCTTTCATTTATATAGCTTCTTAATGGAGAAGATTATAAATATTTCTGAAGCAGGAAAAAGGATGCTTCGCTTCTCCGAAATTATAGGAAATCCTTTACAGGGAGAACAGAGACTCAATTCATCATTGAGTACTTAATGTAAAAAAGAATATAGTTACTTTTATTTTCAATGAAATTATTTGTTACTTTAATTGTTTCAGAAGTAGTAGTTGGTGTATTTTCAGGAAGTAAGTGGTTATGTTTTTTAGTTCTTTCGAAGTAAAGTAAAATATATTTGATGCTGTTTATTCGTTCATAATTTTATTAAATATTAGTTTTTTAATTCTGGTATTTGAGATATATTTTGTCCTGTTTTTTTTATATAAATCTTTTCTTTTTTTAAGTAATTCTGTCTTTTTTATTGCCTTTTTAAAAGGAGAAAAATTAAAGCCTCATTATTTAATAATTTTATAATTTAAAATTAAAAGTTTTGATACAATAGTTTGTTCATATATTATGATTAGTTTTTTTCTCTACTTAACATTAAAACTTGCAATGAAGCTTTGAGTATATAGCCTTTTACTTTCTTCTTTTTTTTCTTCGGATTTTGAAATTAATTATATTTTATAATTTTTCGAATGTAAAAATTTGATTATTTATTTGTGAAAAATTTGTTACGTATCTCATTACGCAATTTATTTTCGTAATAATAACGACACATAGTAACAAAGATTTAGACAAAAAATCAAAAGATAAATTTTAATTTATAAACACCAAAAACTAAGTAATTAATTTGATAAACTAAACAGTGGTGCGCGTTGGCGACAATAAATTTTATAGGATTAACAGGACGGAACTTTGGGTTATGTTTTAAGTTGTAATAAAGTGAATTTACAAAAACAAATTAAGAACTTGAGTTTTATTATGTTTACGTGACGTTATATTATGTAAGCTGGGTCTAAGCTGCACGTATATAGAACTCATATTAAAATTCAAAGAATATCCATATTTTATATTCTTGTAATATTAAATTTTTATTTCAGTAATATATTTGTCAAATTCTTGTCAAAAGAGAGGTCATAAATGTTTACATATATATACATCTGAAGCTATAAACGTTAAAATACATATATATATATATATATATATACATATCTCACGAAATATGACAATTCACTGTCCCTTGCTCCAAGATCTAATACTATAATACTAAAATAACTTTTCTTTAAAAAAATTAATAAATAGCATTGCTGTTAGCCTTTTAAAATGACTTTGCACTAGCATTGACTGTTTTGTATAGTTAAAAAATTTAAATGAACTTCAAAATGTCATTTTCCTGGTATGTCCCAAACAATGTTTCCTATAATAACTAGCTTCAAAACTTCCCATAAACTTTTCAATTTCAATTTTCTTTTTAATCTCAACCAGTGTAAGCATTTCTAGAATACACGCAGAGGATATTTTTTACAAAATCTTCGCTTAAAATAATTTTTTCTGTCAATAATTTGTTCATCCCAAGAAAATTTGTCATTTCCTGGCTAATTTTATTTAGAGGCTTATAACCAAAATAGATAGAGCCAGCAATCAATATCTTATGTTAATAGATTGATTAGACACCCTTCTATATTAACATGTCTTGTTGCATGAATAAAGAACCAATTTTCTGGTTCAAAATCTATTTCAAAAATTTTTTCAAGGTGAGTAGGTTTTTGTGTTGTCATTTTCCTGGCTTCTTGAATTAATATTTAAAAAAAGAAAACAAATATTTTTATAAAATAAATGACTAGTAAACTTTGTCCATCAAAAATGAAGTCTCCCTCCGTGGACAATTAATATAGCTGGTAAATATGCCATGAAGGGCAGCATATGCGAAATCCCTGTAAGACAGCTGCTGGGAAAGGTAACCATTCCATTTTCTAATGTTAACTATCAGTTGTTTCTGTTCTCTTTGGTGTCAGTTTTGGATTGTTGTGTTCAACTGGGGTTTGGCAAAGTTCTCACCATATACTCCGTGGACATCATAAAGAAGGTAAGAGAAAATTATTTTATTTTTGATAGAGGAATTTCAGATTGCAAAAATAGTATATTGAATAAAAAGAACTGCCCCATTTTTGCAACTTTAAAATTAAAAATCAGTAAAATTCTAGAACTTTTGTCTCCTCCGTGGACATAACAAGTCCACGGAGGAGAAGACACAGTCAATGGAAGAGACAATGCGTTAGATAACCATAATACAATTTTAATAATTAAAAAACTATTTTCTCTTAATTGATATTTTTAAAATTGAACAAATATGTTAATTTGTTTGTATTTTTAAACAAGAACAATTAAGTTTAACTTTTTCTTATATGAGAAGTAAATATTGGCAATTTTTCTAAATAATTTCCGTGATGTTTAACATATTTTTTCTTTTCAAATTTTAGGAAAAAAATGGTAAAACCAAAATGTAAAAAAAGAAAGCAATCAAATGTTCAAATGTGAAAGAGAAGGGAACAGAAAAAACTTAGTATGAGACAAGCTAGACAGAAATTAAAAGAAAACCCTATATTGTTTGAAGAAAGTAAAAAAAAAAAGGAACAAGGAACTTTAAAATCTGTATCAGAAAAAGATTTAACAGGAAAATCGAGATTAAATGTACCTAAATTTCTAGAAATTGATAGAGCAAGCCGTTTTTGCCCAGGGAAAAAAGAAACAATAATAAGAAGAACAGAGAAAAAACAAAAACGTTATTTGGATGACAGTATGTTTAACTTGCATAAAATGTTCATAAAAGAGTACCCTTAACACTCAACTTTCGTGTGGAGTTTGAAATTTTATTTCAATAGTCTTTACATTTTAATTTATTAATATTCAGTAAGATTTGCTTAAAAAATTGTACACTTAGATTAAAAATGGATGTTTCCTTTCATAGCAGCATGATTAATGGGAAGTAGCTCTATCTCTAATAATGAAATATTTTATTATTTACTTATTAATGTTAAACTCATATCAGTTGTACCCAATAATTAAAAAATTAGTCTTCATTGACATTTTATATTTTATAACATAAAATGTCTCCTCCGTTGACTATTACATCTCCTCCGTGGANGCTACATAAATCAAAATGACATAGAAGCGCAACTAGATGAAAATTATAATACCTGAGCGCTTGACGCAACAAATCCTTCAATTCTATAAGTGTTGTATCGCCAAATGCCCAAATTAACAATTGCAATTTCAAATTAATATTGAAATGTACAGGTTCAGAATTTTCTACAGTGAAAAGTTTTCGAAACTTCAGTATTCAAAAAAGTATACATAAGCTAGACGTTAAGAACGTATCCAATGAGCGAGCATAGCGAGCATTGGATTGCGAAGCAATCCGAAATGAACTGCGAAAGCAGTTTCGGGGTTGGCGAGCGCCAGCGAGTAGGGGGCGAAGCTTCCTAGTATATTATAAAGCACACACTCTATTATAATTTCTTTTCTATATAGGAGCTTTACTTTGGAACAGTGGTTCGGAAAAAAGGCATGATCAAGGTGAAATGCAGCTGTGCAAAAGAGACACCACGTGCTTAGCTTGGTATAGATGCCCGCCATCAAGATTGCCTAGAGAACAATTTCATTTATCCTGTTTTTATGAAGGTTATTCTAAATGGGATATGGGTGTCTGCTGTGTTAATCCGAGAAAAGGTCCAAACACGAAAATAGATATCTCTCCAAATACAACACCTTCAACGACAACTTCAACTATGGTGATACCAATCAAACTAATACAAGGTAAAGCGTAATTGAAGTATTTTGAATTGTACGTATGAGCCACTAGAGCCAATTGAAGTATTTAAATTTGTAGTTTCACACATTGGTAAAACCTCATTTAAAATATATTATTATTATAACTTTGAAAATGCAATGGTTAATGAGGACAATATTTTAAAGATATTTATCTCTTACATTTAACTGAAATCAAGGGGCCTTCATAGAGGACTTTCTTCTGGGAATTACCAGCATTTGTGTTACGGGGAGCGGAAAACCGCGAAAAGCCCTTTTACTCGACGATAAGGAAATTCAAATCCTTGATCTACCTATCTTTGGGTAAACTTAGCTATACACGGTAAAAATTTAGTGTGTCTTAACATCAAAAATGGTTGTATTATTTTAGCACCAAAGTTAGTTATTTGTGTAATCGAACGCCAAGGATAATTATTGGTGTAATCAAACACTAAGGACAGTTCTTAGTTTAATGAAACAGTAGAAATAGTTTTGTTTACTAAATGTAATGTAGTTGCCACCATATTTTGTGTTCAGTAACACTTAAATTTAGAATCACTTTTAATACAAACGTTTAACTTTTTCATGTTTTATATTAAAAGATGTGGATAGCATAATTTTATACAAATTTTTAAAAAAAATGTACGAACAGCACGTGAGAGTATTAAGACACATTTGAACTAGGCTTAATGGAAGATAATTGGATAGAAACTAAATGTTATAAATTCTTCTAATACAAATTATATCTTAGAGTTTACATATATATATATATATGAAAACGGTATTACCTTTATTACGCAACTGAGAAAACAGAAACCTTTTGTCATAACGAACTTCTGTAGTATGTATAGAACTGCACAAAATGGCTACTAACTCACACTATCTCGTGCTCAATTATAAATACTGTACCGTTAATGTCTGACGATTTCGTTATAAAAGCAAAAGTTGGGATTTTCGCAAGGGAAATTTAATTTATGAATGGAGTGAATGCCTACGAGTTTGGTGTAATCATTCACCCGTATTGGCGATTAGATTTAATTGTATAAATTATTATGTATATGATTGCTTGATTTCGCGTTCTTTTGAAATAAATTGTTCATTTACACATATTTCGGAGTTCTGCAACACAAAATTTGGAAGAGTGTGGGCAATACAGTTTATACAGAATGTTGGTACGAGTCAATTTCACTAAGCACTGGTAGTAACATGAGACGAGACGGGCTTTGTTGATGCTAGTCGAAAACGCGTTGAATATGTATTGATCAGTATCTCCTGGATTGAGACCTGGGTCTCCTCATTGGAAGGCTCAGTATAAAAGGGATTAACGACAGATATAAAAAAAATATGCATTCTTACTTTTTTTTAATTATAAAATATGCTTACATAACAATTTTTAAACTTTTCAGAGTGTGGGAAATCTTATGCAACTCCAGGGTCAAAAGAAAGACCAGGAAATTGGCCTTGGATGGTAAGATCCTTCTGAACATATGATTGAAAAATATGAAAAATGTAATAATAAAATAACAGTAGCGTGAATGTGAGAAGTTTAGACGGAGAAAAATTGAACTAATAACAGAGACAGATATAGACTGGGCAAATTATACAGAGAAAAACTGGTCGTATATTAATAATTTTATATTATAGTTAGTAGTACTACATCACCTTTACTGTTAAAAAAGCGATCTAACTTTATTAAGTCTAAAATTGGTTTTTTAATCTAATGATGCATTTTACTACGCATTTACGAAGAACTGAATTTTGAAGTGAGTGAAAAAAAACAACAACCTTGAATAACTATTGAACTAATGTACGAATTTTCACCTACTAAGAATCTACTTTTCTCGTATTTTACTTATTAAGAAATAAATTTTAAAGTGTGTGAAAGAAAAACAGAAAACCTTGAATAAATTTTGAACCAGTGCTCCGATTTTCACTTGCTAAGACTCAATTTTAATAGTTCGAGAGCTTCACCTTTATGCTAGGTAATTAGTACAGACTATTTACTAATTTAAAAGTACTTTCAGACAAAGTGCTGAAATAAGCATACTCTTTTTTCCCCAACGGATTGGGATTTTTGACTTTAAAAATAGACAGGTGGAGAAGCAATCTAAAAAATGAGGTCCCAATAATTTGGCTAGTAGAGTGGTAATGCGACCATTAATGCGAATTATACTTTTGACCCATTAATGCGAATTATACTTTTGGTGTGTTTTGCCTTATGTCGAGAACTTTTTAAACGAATCGAAACATTTTTGCACTTAATTATAAAATATTCTATCCAAAGATAAAGAAAAAAATATTAATTAATAAATATTATAAATAAATATCATATTAGTAACATTATATTTGATTTAACAATATTCAAAAGAAATTTTGACTTGTTAGGTATGTTAATTTTTACATAATATTTAAATGGCAAAATGAAATTCGAGCTCATTCGGTTAAATAGTTTTTGAGTTATCAAATTTCTAAACTTTTCATATTTCGTATTTTGTCATTTAAAATTATATTCTTTAAAATATGTATACCATACAGTTCAAAGTTTTTTCGACTGTTAATAAAAAATAGTAAAAAGTATTGAAAATTAGTTTTTGCTCAATTTATCTTTAGATAAACGAATTTTACAACAAGTTACCGTTTTTCTGGTACATTGTACAGTGTTCAAGAAAATAAACAGACCACCCGAATGACTTTTGATATAATTATCGGATTTTTAGATTCTTGGAATCAATCTTAATGGGTTGGAAAGGTTCCCCACAAATATGCTAATTAATTAGTGCAGACGATATTGTAAGTTACGAAATAATACACAAAGCATACTTCTCTCTGAATAATTATACCTTATTTTCGACGGATTCAAATTTCTGAAACCCAACTTTATTTGCGTGTTTCTCCATACTTTTTAAGCGAGTTGAAAAAATTTTACACACAATTATAAAATTCGTCTATACAAAGATAATTCCTAGCAAAAAATAACTTTTAGTAAATATATATTATTTTTTTTAAATATTTTACTTAATAATAGTCGAAAAAATTTTGAATTGTAAGGTATAAAAATTTTTTCTTCATTTTAAAGAATGTAGTTTTACCTGGCAAAATACAAAATGTGAAGTAAATTTTAGGTGTAGTTTCAGAGAAATTGAATTTTAGAAATACGAATTTTTTAAAATTCGAGTTTTCTTCTGTTCGAACAATTTTGATCAAATTTTGTGATGTGTCTTGCAAAATTGCATTCTTTGAAATGATATAAAAAATTGTATGCAATTCAAAATTTCAACAATTCTCAATTTTCCGACTACTGTTAAACAAAATAATAATAAATAAATGTTAAAAATTATTTTTACATGGCATTATCGTTGGATAAATGAATTTTATAACTGTGAGTAAAAAGCTCTAGAGTCGCTTAAAAATTTCTCGAGATATGCAGAAATACGCAAAAAGTGTCATTAACTTTCAGAAATCCAAACTCTGGACAGCTTTCCAGACAAAACTATAGGACTATATTTTCGGAATTACGGCTACCCCGTATATTTTGAAGGTCAGAAATCCGAATCTGTCTAAAAAAATCTATGTTTATTTAGAGAAAGTATGTTTTTGTGATTGATTTCGTAACTTAAAATATCTCATCCACTAATTATTAGCATATTCGAAGTCTCCCTTTAAGCACTCAAGATTGTGTCCTAGATCTTGAAGATTCGTTTATTAGATCAAATGTTATTTAGCGTGGTTCGTTTATCATTTTGCACACTGTACATTCAAAATGTTACAGTTTTTGAATCGTTGAAGTATGTTAAAGAGTTTGTAAAGTTTACTTTATTTTTTAGTCTTTATCAGTATGAATTTTTTAGCTGCATTTATATAGCATTTTAAGTTTTACATGTAATTGCAGGTTGCAATCAGAAAAGCTCAAAGAAATGGAACTGAAATTTATTGGTGCAACGGTTTTCTAATCGACGACAGTCACATTCTCACTGCAGCTCACTGTTTTCACGATAGAAAGTATAAATAGTTTTATTGGTTGAATTAGTTGAGTTTGACTTTAAAGTTTACTTTGTTTAAATTGATGGATGTTTGAATTACATTCAGGATAAGTAATTATTAACCCTTTGACGCGTATGGAACACCGGTGTCCTTTTTATATATATTTATTCTGACACTCTAATTATAAGCAAAAATATATTATTTAATTATAAAAGAACTCTCTAATAGTTACTAAAAAATATGTCAGATTTTCGGAATTTTTTTTTGGAGCTGAAATATAAAATCGGAAAAAAGTACCTTGAATTTTTTTTCTTCATTCATATTCTGAAATTGATCAATAATTGATTTTTAAAATTAAGGAAATTTGCATGATGAATGACTGTTTCTTTTAGATCTAAATAACTACAAAAAGGGCAAATTTGAAAAATTATTGTTTGGAAGATTTTACCTTTAACGCAGAAAAAGACACAGGTGTTTCATGCTGTATTTTATAAGCATAAAATATTAAAATGCTGAATATAATATTTTTAATTTATTTTGACATAATCTAGTACAAAAAAAAAGAAAAAAGTATGAAAAATATGTTCAATAGAAATTTTGCGTCAAAGAGTTAAATTCGAGGAACAGAAGTTCTTATCATGCATTGCTAACTCTCCAGACTTTTTATCGCCGCGGACCGGTCAACGTTTGATAATTTTTCTGCACCTCTCTGAGGGTTGGGCAGACGTTGTCTGTTTATATTTTAGATGACTTAGATTTCATAATTTTAATGCGATTGCATTTAAACGTGCCTTCAGAATAGAATACAGTTACATTCACGGTATGGTACGGCTTTAGGTGACGGCTATCAGCTCACATCAGTTTACCTCTCGTCCATAGAAAGTCGCACAAACCCGAGAGATACAGTACACCACAGAAAAAAAATGAAAATAATTTAATGTTCTTTTGCGGCCCTTTACCATTTGGTTTATAGGCCGGTACCGGCCCGCCGTCAGGGTTATTCACTGATGTATTGCATTAAAAAGCTTCTCTTATTATTATCTTTTTCTTTACATTAAACGTTTCGAACTTTAAAGAAGAGAATTTTTAGAAAAAAAAATAACACCACCACTATTCACTTTGCTAACCAACTCTCATGATTACTGCAATCAACTTTTTCTCTCAACAATAAACAAATTGTTCTATCTAAATTAGCATATATTGAATTGAAAGATTTCAAAATGCTTTATTGTATTCACGCAGATTTGATTTTGATTTTACAGATAGGAATGAAATTTAAACCTAATTCTTTTTGCACCGTTATCATTGCAACTTTTACAATTTTGCTTTTTAAAATTTCCACTGATTATTTGAGCATGCACTACAACTTTAACTTCGAATAGTTTTAACCAATGTACGTTGACTAAGGTATTGTACTTATGTAGATTATTTTGTGTCATCAAATCTTGTTAATTACATTAAAATTTATTTTTATTAAGTTTCACAAATTTTAATAAAATTTTAATACTGTCTCACATTTTTGCATCTTCATAGCAACCGTCATCAAGCAATTGTTAAAAAATCTCGGTACATCTATTTTTTCTATTTAGAAAAAGAAATGTAAAAAAAGTAGTTTTTCTTACTTGCAGTCTCCTTGTTTAAGCTCTTCATTTTTCATCCGATTTTATAAATAGTAAGCATATTGCTAGATATTACATATTACTAATGAAATTTTCGATGCACGTAGTCCTTTATCTATAAAGGTTCAGGTTACAGAGCTGTATATCGATTAATTTTTGAGTTGTTATTTTAACAAGCAAAAGTTAGATGGAAAGGATATCATACATACTATGTTGAGGATACGCTAGTGAGTGGAATATTTATTGTTTATTTAGTTCTGAAAAGGAATAAAATCTACTATCAATGTTTTACTGTAAATCGAACCTGAATAAAACAAGATTATTTCATTCGTAGCGTGACGCTTTATTCTCTGAGAATTGGAAGTAATGATCAAAGGCTGGGAGACGTTTATCATATGAAGAGATTACTGACGCCGGAAAGTTACCAACTAAATCGTTTTTACAGTGACATAGCTTTAGTTACTTTGGATAGACCAGTCACTACAAAGAATGTCATGCCCATATGTCTACCATTTTCTATTTTCAAGAATTTTACAAGTCCAAAGGCAACTATTGCTGGTTGGGCCATGGAAAGTCCAAGTAAATTTTGTTGTTGTTGTTGTTTTAATTCTTTCTTTTCAATTACGATGCTATATATGTATTGTTAAACAATGTAAGAAAGATTATTTGTTTATGTGAAATTAGAATGTAACTAAGACTTCTTTCTACGCCAAAATTTCATCATTTAATATGTTTGTAGAAAAATAGGAAATTAGCATTCAAAATCCAACAAGTAAATAATAATGCCCATATTTCTTTTTTGAATTGACATGAATGTTGAAGTAAGCTAATATTTTTGAACTAAAGATTGCGTTTCACAGTAAAACTAGAAACAGACTAACTCTTAAGTCTTGAGTTAAAATTATAATCTGCTATAGTTTGCATTCATCATTTCCAAAGTATGTTGAATACAATAAATAATTCTGGATGCATCATCAGACTTTTGTAAGAAACTGAATAAGATTCCTTTTCAGTTTTTTAGTATAGTTTTACTTGTTGAATGATTAGATTGTTTGAAGTTCTGGACTTGAAATGTTGTATAGTAGTTTCTATGGTCATGCTGTTCTTTATCTACTCTGTTTATTTGATATCAATCAAGAATTTGTTGTTTGCGCACGCAGCAGGTGCACGTTAAATGTTTTGCACTTATTGGACTGTGTTGAGTGTTAATAAATTCATTATACCCACACAAATACAAAAAAAAAACATTAATGAAAGTGAATTGGATATTTATATTGAAAATTAGCCCAGAAATCATATTAATCAGGACTGCTACTTTACTCTCGTTATCTCCAAAACAATAACTCCTTACAAGGCTTATCTCTGGCAATCAAAGGTCCCGATTTCAATAATTTTTATTTGAAAGAGTTAATACGAGTTTGGAAGAATCAGTAACTTATACACTCTTTTAAACTTGTGGTTCAATTAAGTCAGTGTAGTAAATTGTTGCTCAGGGTATCTAAAATCCAGGAAGAATTAAAAATATAGCGTGTTCATATATTTTTGTGTATTTTAAGGTGTCTTGTAAATTATGACTATTAATTAAAAATTAACAAAAAAAATTAAAATTAAAAATTAAAATTAACTTTAAAAGAATTAAAATTAAAAATTAACAAAAAAAAATTAAAATTAAAAATTAAAATTCAATTTAAAAAAATTAAAATTAAAAATTAACAAAAAAGAAACTAAAATTAAAAATTAACAGAAAAAATTAAAATAAAAAATTAAAATTAAATTTAGAAAAATTAAAATTAAAAATTAACAAAAAAAATTAAAATTAAAATTGAAAAAATTAAAATTAAAAATTAAAATTGAAAAAATTAAAATTAAAAATTAAAATTAAAATTAAAATTAAAAATTAACAAAATAAAAAAAATTCATTAATTGGTTTTAACTTTATGTACAGTGCGCAAAAAAAGGAAAAGTAAATCGAATCATTTTGAATAACTTTTGATCGGTAAGACGCAACAGCGTACTTTCTCTGAACCAATGAACATACCGTTTTTTTTTATAGATTTGTATTTCTGATTTCTAAGATATAATGGTGGTGGCAATCTGGAAAATATGGTCCCACTAGTTTGGTCAAGGGAATGGTTCAAAGTTCGAACCTTTAATGCTAACTTTATTTGCGTATATTTCTCCACACTTCAAAGCGAATTAAAAAAATTTTGCACACATTTATAAATTAGTTTATCCAAAGATAATTTCATGCAAAAATTAACTTTCGGTAAACATTTGTTATTATTTATTATTTTATTTAATAATAGTCGAAAACATTTCTGATTGTAACGTATACAGTTTTTGATATCATTTAAAAGAGTGCAAATTTACACGGTGAAATACGAAACTTGAGCGAAATCGGTCAAATAGTTCTTGAAAAATCGAGTTTTAAAATATGAGTTTTTAAAAATTTGATTTCTCATGAACTATTCGACTAATTTTTTTCAAGTTTTGTATTTTGCCATGTAAAATTACAATTTTTAAGATCATGTAAAAATTTTAGACCTTACAATTTCTTACACTAGTCCATTTCTACACTATTATTAAATATAATGTGATTTTTATTTACTAAATATTTCTTAAAAGTCATTTTTTGCATGAAATTCTTTTTGGATAAAGGAATTTTATAATTGCATGCAAAAAATTTTCAATTCGCTTAAAATGTTCTCGAACTATGATAAAATACACAAAAAATAAAATTTACATTAAGTTGTTCAAACTATGAATGTCTCTCTTGACCGAACTATTAGGGCCATATTTCCCAGATTGCCGGGATCTAAAATCCAATTCCGTTGGAAAAAGGTACGCCTCTTCAAAGTATTCCTTTTTTGTACTTGATTTCAAAATTTAAAATATTCTTATATTAGCATATTTTAATTAATAAATTTCAAAATAGAATTGAATTAATTAGCATATTTCAGATCACCCTTTTGAACCTTTAAGATTGAGTTCTAGAACGTGAAGATCCCATCATTAGATCAAGGGCTAATCAGGGGGGTCCGTTTTTTTATTATTTTGCGTGCTGCACATCTGATTTTAAGTACAAGTAGTGAATTTTATATTTAAACATAAAAAATGCCTTGTAGCGTTCCAATTGAAAAAATTTTGTTCAATTTATAAGGTACTTCATCATCAAATTATCTTCGGGAGCAGCATGGATTACCCATCATTTCCAACAAGCTATGTAATTCAATCTACAAAAAGAGAATAGCAGCTCCTTTCGACAAAAATTTTCCGTTAGGAATTACTCCTGATTTCATCTGTGCAGGTTCACCCGATGGAGGAAAAAGAAATTGTGGAGTGAGTTTTTTTCATATTTTGTTAACTAAAGAAAAATTATTATGTATTTTAAAATTACTAGAAAAATAAACCCATTAAACCAAACCAAATTACCCATCATTTCTAACAAGCTATATTATTNCACTGTAAAATTAAAATTGAAAAAATTAAAATTAAAAATTAAAATTGAAAAAATTAAAATTAAAAATTAAAATTAAAATTAAAATTAAAAATTAACAAAATAAAAAAAATTCATTAATTGGTTTTAACTTTATGTACAGTGCGCAAAAAAAGGAAAAGTAAATCGAATCATTTTGAATAACTTTTGATCGGTAAGACGCAACAGCGTACTTTCTCTGAACCAATGAACATACCGTTTTTTTTTATAGATTTGTATTTCTGATTTCTAAGATATAATGGTGGTGGCAATCTGGAAAATATGGTCCCACTAGTTTGGTCAAGGGAATGGTTCAAAGTTCGAACCTTTAATGCTAACTTTATTTGCGTATATTTCTCCACACTTCAAAGCGAATTAAAAAAATTTTGCACACATTTATAAATTAGTTTATCCAAAGATAATTTCATGCAAAAATTAACTTTCGGTAAACATTTGTTATTATTTATTATTTTATTTAATAATAGTCGAAAACATTTCTGATTGTAACGTATACAGTTTTTGATGTCATTTAAAAGAGTGCAAATTTACACGGTGAAATACGAAACTTGAGCGAAATTGGTCAAATAGTTCTAAAAAATCGAGTTTTAAAATATGAGTTTTTAAAAATTTGATTCATCAGGAACTATTCGACTGATTTTTTTCAAGGTTTATATTTTGCCATGTAAAATTACAATTCTTAAAATCATGTAAAAATTTTATACCTTACAATTTTTTACACTATTCCATTTCTACACTATTATTAAATAAAATATGATTTTTATTTACTAAATATTTCCTAAAAGTTATTTCTTGCATGAAATTCTTTTTGGATAAAGGAATTTTATAATTGTATGCAAAAAATGTTCAATTCGCTTAAAATGTTCTCGAAATATGAAAAAATACACAAAAAATAAAATTTACATTAAGTTGTTCAAACTATGGATGTCTCTCATGACCGAACTATTAGGACCATATTTCCCAGATTGCGGCAGCACCCCATATTTTGGGGATCTAAAATCCAATTCCGTTGGAAAAAGGTACGCCTTTTGAAAGAATTCCTTTTTTCTATTTGATTTCCTAAGTTAAAATATTCTTATATTAGCATATTTTAATTAATAAATTTCAAAATAGAATTGAATTAATTAGAATATTTCAGATCACCCTTTTGAACTTTTAAGATTAAGTTCTGGAACGTGAAGATCCCATCATTAGATCAAGGGCTAATCAGGGGGGTCCGTTTTTTTAAAATTTTGCATGCTGCACATTTGATTTTAAGTACAAGTAGTGAATTTTATATTTAAACATAAAAATTGCCTTGTAACGTTCCAATTAAAATTTTTTTTTTTCAATTTATAAGGTACTTCATCATCAAATTATCTTCGGGAGCAGCATGGATTACCCATCATTTCCAACAAGCTATGTAATTCAATCTACAAAAAGAGAATAGCAGCTCCTTTCGACAAAAATTTTCCGTTAGGAATTACTCCTGATTTCATCTGTGCAGGTTCACCCGATGGAGGAAAAAGAAATTGTGGAGTGAGTTTTTTTCATATTTTGTTAACTAAAGAAAAATTATTATGTATTTTAAAATTACTAGAAAAATAAACCCATTAAACCAAACCAAATTACCCATCATTTCTAACAAGCTATATTATTCAATCTACAAAAAGAGAATAGCAGCTTCGATAGCACATTTTCGTTATAAATTACTCCTGATTTTATCCGTGCAGGTTTACCCGAAGGAGGAGAAATAAATTGTGGAATGAATTTCTTTCATATTTTGTTAACTAATTAAAAATTATTATGAGTTTTAAAATTACTAGAAAAATAAACGCATTAAAACCCATTAAACCAAACCAAATTACCCATCATTTCTAACAAGCTATATTATTCAATCTACAAAAAGAGAATAGCAGCTTCGATAGCACATTTCCGTTACGAATTACTCCAGATTTTATCCGTGCAGGTTTACCCGAAGGCGGACATGGAAATTGTGGAGTGAGTTTCTTTCATATTTTGTTAACTAATGAAAAATTATTATGCGTTATTAAAATTACTAGAAAAATAAACCCATTAAACCTAATCACCCAACATTTCTAACAAGCTATGTTATTCAATCGACAAAAAGAGAATAGCAGCATCGATAACACATTTCCGTTACGAATTACTCTTGATTTTATCCGCGCAGGTTTACCCGAAGGAGGAGATGGAAATTGTGGAGTGAGTTTCTTTCATATTTCGTTAACTAATGAGAAATTATTATGCCTTTTTAAAAAGCACTGGAGAAATAAATTTTTCATTTTTTATGTCTTTTTCACGGTATATTCCTTAACAGCAGGTAAAGAAACAGAGAGAAGTTATATTCTCATGACATAGTAAGTGGCCATGAAGAGAAAAGGCCATTACTTAAATGCTATAAGCGAATGCAAAAGATGCCGTTCAAGTTGTTAATCGAAAAAAAAGTTGGTTTGGGCTCTGGCGAAGGATTAAATGATAATTATATTGATATTTTTATTTTATAGTAAATTATGAATTAAACTTAATTGTTGTGTGCATGGTAATTTTTCTTTACAACAAAGAAATAAAAATGTATTACATAGAGCTGTTTAGTTTGGTCATTAGCAAATAGATAGCAGCGCAATATATTTACGTTATTGTATTTAAAATGACATTGTGACGATTGAAACATTGACACTGTGACGATAAAATGACGATTTGCTTAAGACAAATTTTAGGAATGTAAAAAAAAAAAATTCGTTAGTGGTTTCAGAAAGTCAGCATTTATAAATTTTATGGAGTTTCAAGAGTTTCAACTTTTTAAAAAACCACGCTTTTTGGACAATCTGAAATTATTTTTTATTTTTATAATGCTAAAATTTACAATTCTATGTTTTTGTTATATCTCTTTCAATCATTTGTAATGTGTAAGTTATTTTAATGAATAGTAATGATTTTTTTTTGCAGGCTGCATCAGGTGGACCATTGATGATTTATAAAGGCAGTCGATGGTATGCTATAGGGATATTAATATTCGGCGTTGAAAGATGTGACAAATTTCCCAAAGGATACACAAGAATATCCTCATATAAAGATTTTATACAAAATAATTTAAGAGAGCATAATTCCAATTACTTTCAATACTAAAACAAATAAAATTGTTGAAATTACCTTTTTTTGCCGTCTTTTTATGATTCTGTTAAATTTAGTTAAGATCGTTAAAAACATTTGATTAAAAACTAATATATATANTAATCTGAGTTAAAACGAAATATTGAAATTTCGATATGTATATATATATATATATTTCAATTTTTTTTAATTATCTTTTTAATTTGCATTTTATTTAAATAATTTCATATAATCGACCGAAATAATCAATAAATAATAAATTATAGGACGGATAAAAACATAATTACAGATTGAAAAATTAGTTAAAATAAACTTACGAACCCCAGTGAACTTTCCACGAAACCTTACGGTTCCGCGAACACTATTTGGAAACCATTGGTTTATTTAATCTTTTAATTAAGGCAGTGCTTAGTAATTAAGAAGTGAAGAAAAATCTGAATCATGATTTGGAAATTCTATTTCAATTTAAGGTATGAAAAAAATCATCGAAAAAAAATATTCAACATTATTAGTAATTGTAAAATTCACAATTCTTAATGCTCTTAAGAGATTCCTATTCTGATATTTATTTTCATGTCTATCAGCACAGAAAATGGTACATTTATGTCTTATTCAGTGTTCTGTAATTTATTATAATTTTTTTTGAAGTGCATATATTTAAAAAGAAAATAATTTCCCCGTACTTGTGATTTTTAAGAAAATTTAAACTTTATTTTCATTTTTATTAAATTAGGTATGCTTTAGTATATCTTGTTTATGTGAATTATCTAGACTGTATATCGTAATAATAAACAAAGCCGAATCACTTTTAAACTCAATATAAAGCAAGATATTTGTTTTAAAGCTTTCAAAACAAAATAAATCAGCCGCTTTGCAAAATTTTTCTTCTTTTTTCCTATTTTAAACCACACTTCAAAAAATTGTAAAATGGATCAAGGCTATATGAATGATTTTTACTTTGACAGTTAATTTGCATTAAATACAATTCAAATTCTGGAATATAATATTGAATAATAGTCACTCAAGTTAGCCTTCGTGGCCTTGTTGAACCCATAATATATCCCCTCCCTACCTTAGTCAATAAATAAATAAATTTAGATAAACGCAAGTAGTCGTTCACCTTCGAAAAACTCCAAGCCCTGCATTTGGAACAAGATGAAATAAATACGGAATGTCCTTTTGATATTGGTCTACGTATGGTAGTCTCATCTGCGGTCGAGGTTACTCACCTTTTAAAATAAAAAAGAAAATGCTTGTGATGTACTAACCTAAGGCCTAACGGGATTATGCTTACTTATTTATCCAATCTTCAAGCTTTCTCTGGGGCGATTTCACTTATTTTATTTATTTTTTCTTTTGCTATTTAGCTTTCATACAGAGAGATTTTTTTCTTTAAATACTTACGATCATACTCCAATTTTATGGGCTTCACTTTTTCAATTATTTTGAGGATTTAGTTTTTTTGAGTTAATAACAATGAACATATTTTAGCGATTTCTTAATGGATTTAGCTAAAAATGATGTGTTTTTTAAGTAATTTTCTTTTTTCTTTTTAAATGTTTCTTGTTTGTGTTTTAAAGCTTTTTAAAAATGGTGAGATTATTGCATTAGGATTACAACGATAAGGATATCATTTGGTAATAAATAAGAAACGCCATTAAATAATGATTGAGTAATATAATTTCGTAATAAGTTATGGAATTAAATTTGACTATAATCAGATAAGGAATATAAATAAGATTACAAATAAGAATAGAAATAGTTTTATATAATATAATCAAAGTTGCATTATTTTTATATTGCATAATAAATTGCATGACAAGTGAAGTAAATTAAAAATTAATGTCAATCTTTGTTTCTTGTTTAAATTCAAAGCATGAAAGTGATTAAGAATACTTACACTACTAAAAGAGATACGTAATACATATAGTAATAATTACGTACATTAAATAAACTTGCAGATATTTGCCACATTTGTTTTTTGCTTGATTTTTATCTTGGTTAATACTCTAATTGAGAAATAAAAATTTTAAAGGACGCCTATATATTAAGCTTTTATACAAGCTATATTTTTTATGCAACATTTCAGAGTTTTTTTGTTCTCATGTGCAAAAATTTTTAAAGTAAACTTAACAAATTTTATTTTTTTAAAAAATAAACGCCACAAATAAAAGAAAATTTTTTCCAGGACATTGGTTTAAATCATTTTTCAGCATTCAAGTTAAATAAAAAACAAAAAACTTATTAGAATTAAATAAGTTACAACTAATTCTAAATGTTTCCAAAAATCTATTTTTCATTTATCTTGATTTGGCATTTTTTGAAAGGTTTAAAAAAGCAATTAGTGCAAAAATTATGTATATGAGTTAAACTAATTTTTCAAAATTTGTACTTTTATTTTCATAGTTATTGAGCTTGTACCATCTAAAACCATTAATTAAATTTCTGTTTTGTATATATTAATAAATAATCAAATTCTCTTCAATATAGTTTAAAAATTTTCAACACCTTTATTTTTGAATTTTTTCTGAGTTTTATAAAGTAATTTTATACAATTAAAAAAATATATTTTTACATACTTTCATAAATTATTGATATTATTCGCATTTAAAAGAAATCTTAGTTAATGCATAACTTACTATTGTTTAACTCATTTCTACACAAAATTATTAAAAAACTATCAAAATGTGTGAAACTCTTTTGCTCCACTAAATGATGACTACTTCGAAAATTCAATACTATTTTCTTATTTTTTTTATGATTCTTTTAGTTTAAGACTTACTCCCCATTAGATAATTTTAATTAAAGTTAAGCATTTAATACTTTTTATAGCTTGTTAAAAATGTTAATGAATCAATAAAAAATATGTAAGACTTACTTGCAAATTTGATAATTAGAAAGCAGAGAATTGAAGAATGAAATTGAGGAATCATGAAACGGCGTCCCCTAATGAAATATTAACAACTAAATAGTTCCATAGATAGATGACGTTGAACTTCAAATAATCGTGTGCTCTTCAACTAATCGTCGTAATACTCTACTAGTTATGTTAATCAGAAATAATATTAGTGATTAGTTCAATGCCATATGGAAATTCTAAAAGTGGGACTTAAAAGTTCCGTTGGTGCATAAATGATTTTAAAGAATAGAAATTTACATTTCTTGCCTAAATCATATCGATTAATTTATTTGAAAGAAATAGAAAATTATAGGATATACAGAAATATTTCATATTAATTTACTTGAATTAATTCATGTAACTCACATAAAGAAAGTAATTTTTCCAAAAATCTTTCCTTTAAATAATTATGGATGAATAATTTTCAGAAATAAATAAAAACTTGTATAATGGCGTTTGATGTTAAAAAATCGTTTGCCTTTTAAAACCATTTGCCTTTTAAAGTCGTTTTAAGTTTTAAATATTATTTTGTTACACAAAATAAAATTAACGCTAACAACAAGGTTTTAATACAAATATCTAACAAAATATATTGACTTCATAACAATTCAGTTTGTTTTTGAATTAATTAGATTAGTTCTGCACTTCTAAGACTTCTGATCCAGTTCATACTTTTGACAAGTTTTATGACTATCGTCTGCTATCTTGCGTCTTGAAGAGAACGATTACCATTGAATTAAGATTTTATCTACTGGAAAGGAAATTTATTAAAATAACATAAGATACGGATCTTTCTTCCAACTGCTTTTTTTGCTGATATTTAATGTTGCGATTGTCGATGTTTTTCTACTGAGATTTTTTGCACATAAACGCATTCTTATGGATTCCGTCAAATTAAATGGTCCATCTGCAATAGAATAAATTGGTATGTAGCTTTTTAAATACTTAGCGAAGTGTTAGAATTTTAAAATATTCTATTTACTTCTTTGGAATTCACAATTTTTTTTTAATGTTTCATGCCTAATGGAATAAGATCATAAACTGTATACAACCTGCTGCAATGAACTAACTTCATTATGATAAAAGTAGATCTTTAGAACTAGAAAAACTTTTTGCGAAATAAAATGACAGTAGTGTATTTAAGTGCATTTTTTAAATGAAAAATTTCTAAGTGTTTCACTAAAAAAATGAAGAGATAAAAAGAACAAATTACTGATAAAAGAACAATGTTTTTATGATTTATATTCCTGAACAATGGTTTAAATTCCTGACCCACAAAATATGAGGGGTAACCATAATCTGGGAAATATGGTCCCAATAGTTTGGTCAGGAGAGCGATCCAAGGTTAACTTTTTTCCTTTATTTTACTTTTTTTTCTTTAAATTTTACTTATTGGGCATTTTGCCATACCTCGAGAAATTTTTAAGTGAATTGAAGAGTTTTTGCCCATAATTACAAGTATCATTTATCTAAAGATAATTCCATTCAAAATATAACTTTCAATAAAAAATTATCTTTTTTATATTATTTTATTTAATATTAGTCGAAAAGTTTTGAATTGTAGTTATTACAATTTTTTACATGATTTTAAATAATATTATTTTAGGCGGTCAAATACAATATTTGAGTCAAATTGGTTGAATAGTTCCTGAGAAATCAAATTTTTAAAATACGACAGTTTTGAAATTTGATTTCTCAGGAGCCATTTGAACGATTTCACTCATGATTTAATATCATATATA